AACTGTCTCCTCACCCAGAGGTCTCCCAAGATCACAACTGGAAATCTCATCCAGGAGGCTCCTCAGTTTCTAGAAAACCGTGGAAAAGGAGTTCCCTTTATTTGCTGGAAGTCTGTCCAATTTTAGCATCAGGAAACTGGTTTGAGGCTCCAAAATTTACATAAGTACCAGTTACCCCCTTTGTATAACCAGAAACGCAAGTCTATGCAAATATTCACTATGAATATTTCACAGGAAATTGGAATTAAATTAGTGACTAAAGATGAAAGCCAAGAAGGTAATCTGCTCAGATATTGCGCTGAAATCGTCTCTAAATTCATCCCTCAAGTCCAAACCAGAATCTCAAACCCCGGTCTCTTATTACAGGGGTTCATGTGTTATGAGTAGGGCCCCTCAGCAACTGCCATCTAGAGCCGCCTTGCATAAAATTTGTGCATCCTAGATTCCAGCCCTGCACAACCCCATTAAGTTGTAAACGGATTTTATTTGCTGAACAAATGTTAATGCCATTCTACGTTAATGGATAATGCTACGAAAAGCACCTATGTATTACAGCACTGGAACCTTTAAGGATGAAATACAGTGTAACTTAGAAAACTGTCTGTTACAAACATATGTCAGCCGTGAGGGCTTCCAGCCCTTATCACCCATCTTCACAGAACTCAGTTAGAAGTTCTCCCTTGGTTAAGTGAATTTTCCAATAATACACAGATTTATTAGGTCCCAGGATTAAAATTCTCTGAAGAAGAATAAAAAATAATTGCACTTTAGAACATAATGTAATATTCAAATGACTTGAAAACAGTTACCTCAGCAAAAATAAGACAGAGGAGAGGAAAAAAGAATTTTAAAGATGAGGTTGGTAACGTTGGCCATAAAACCTCTGTGAGTCAAATGCACAAGGCATGATCTGGCACTTCCGAATCGCAAACACATGGAAACGGAACCCTCCCTCTCACAGCAAAATGCCTGGGTGGTTTCACTTGTGAGCCAGGGGGACCTCTTCACTGAATAAGACATATAGTAGCCAGGAGAGAGGGGGTGCTGGTGCCAGACAGTGTTTGTTAAAATGCCAGCTCTACTACTTACTAGCTGTGTGACCATGGGGGAGTTGTGTTTAACCTCCTCATCTCAGTTACTTTGTCTGTAAAATGGGGTTGCTAACGGTGCTGACCTCATGGGGCAGCTGTGATGGTTGAATGACAGGCAAGGAACTTAGAGTAGTGCCTTACACATATCAAGTGTTCAATAAACGTTAGCTCTTCATCATTCGGTGAATGATGGTGGTCGTTACTGTAAATAGGATTTATTGCTTATAGAAAGGGACCTGAACAGAAGCAACGGCCTTCCCTCGCAAGAGGTCTCTCACCTCACTGACTCCACTTGCTCCCTTTTTTCTAGTCTGGATTCTGTCCCCTCTCCTCCACAGGAAAAGCACTCAATAAGGTCACCAGTAAAGTTTTTATTGTCCAGTCCATTGGGTGGTTCTCAATTCTCACCTCTCCTGTCCTCTCAGAAATGCTGAGCATTGTTGAGCCTGACACTCCTGCATTCTATGACTTTGACTGTCCTAATTTTCCCTCAACTTCTCTAGTCTCCCTCTCCCACTTCCATTTGCCAGCAGATCCTCCTTTCCTTGGCCTTTAAATGGAATTCAAACTCTCATTGCTCCTAGGTCTCCAGTCTCTCTCCAGGCAGCTTTACCCATTACTACCATGCTAATTAATCCAAAATGTTGGCCTGCGGCTCATACCTCTGTTCTGAGCTCCAGACCCACGTATGTTCATTTATATTCTCCATGTTTACTTGAATGTCTCAAAGGCACTTCAAACTCAACATGTCTAAAAATTAATTTATGATTTCCTCCCTCCCCAGCATCTCCCTCAACGTTCCCGTGTCTGTGAGTGCCCCACAAAGCATCTCTCATCTGGACATCTGCAATAGCCTCCCACCCCTCTTTCTTCCCCTCAATCCATTCTCCACAGCAGCCAGAGTGGTGCATTCAAGTTGCCAATCTGACCACATCACTCAATGCTCAAAGCCTTCCATGGTCCCCCTGTGCTTAAAGGATCTTGAACGTGGCTGAGAAGGCACAGCATCATTTGGCTTCTCCTGCCTCTCCTGCCTAGCTTTATCTGCATACTCTCTAGCCACTCTGGTCTTCTCTGGCCTTTCTGGGTCTCTGATAAGCAAAGCTCGTCCACTTCCTCTGTGGGGAACCCTCACCATTCTTCTCCTTAGGCTGATTTCCTATTCACCCTCCCACTATTAGTTCAACTGGTGCTTCCTCAGGGAAGCTGTTCCTGATCTAAAACTAGGTCACGTACCCTACAGTAAGTTCTCATAAAACCCTGAGTATTTATCACTATTAACAGTACACATTTATTTATGAGATTTTAACAGACTTAGTATCTATCTCTTCCAGCACATTGTCAGTTCCAAGAGGGCAAGGGGTCATGTCCTTTTGTACCACTATTGTGCTCCCAGTACCTCCCACATGGAAATGGCATGCTAACACTTGTTAAATGAACATCTCAACTTTCATCAGTTGAATGTATTTTTCATGACCCTGCTCTTCGTCCACAACAAGAGAGAGCCATCACTTGAATACAATGGCTGCAAGTAACAAGTACCTCTGGTGACCTCGACCACATCAGGTTTACCTGAGCTGATCGTAAGGGGAGAGAAACTGATAAGGAAAATTGGGCTCCACAAAGACTACCCATGGGAACTCAGCATCAGAAAGGCCAACACATCCTGTCCGTGATTTTAGCAAATGGAATCTGCTTGTGAGCCGCCGCAATGATGTTCATCATTCTCCTTTAGAGAATTCTTTCATTTACTCACTCATTTATCTGTTCATTCAACAAAACTATGAATTCTAAAGTCCAGACATTGGGGTCACAGGGTGGGAAGAACACTGATGTGTGACACATACACAACAAATAAAACAGGCTGTAACTGAGAAGGAGGAGAGGACATGCTCAAGATAAGAGAGTAAAATGATCCTGGAGAATGACTCCTGTGAGTGAGGCAGAGGACGGCCAGAAAAACTTTCCAGGCAAAACTGGGGACACTGACCGGATCCTCTAGGAGCTCCCTAAATACCAACTACTACTATTACTACTACCTTAGGTTGACAGGTGAAGAAAGAGAGGAAACAGTTCTCCTGGACAATACTAGCACCACCATCACCTCTGTTTCCTCCAACTCTACACTCCCTTCCATCCTGGACTACTCTCCTTGGGCTCTAGGAAGAGTGGAACTTAGAGAGAGCTCAGCTGTCTTCTAATGAAGTCCTTATCTCCACTACCCTTAACCTTGCATATACAAATCAACTGTCTGGTTCAGGTTTTCCCTTTTGTTCCATGGCTGATTCAAGGAGGCAGCGCCAGTGGTATGGATGTATCGTGGGAAGGGAGGAGTGGGGCCAGGGTTATAAGGCTCTCACCAGTTCTCTTAAGACAAAAAATAATGCTTTAACCTCTTGATTGCAGCATTCAGTTTTATTTTAAGTGAATCTTACATTACTAAACCATACCCTTTTGGTGTGTGAACTACTCAAGCTCTTATTCAAACTTCAAGCCTGCTTGGAGCTTGGAAAAGAACAGTCAAATGACAGATTTCTTCCATCTCCTCAGAAAAGATAAGAAAGGATAATAAGGCATAGGGTTTTTTAAATAACAACACCAAAGGGGGGATTGGTGTGTTCCGGTATTATCACTTTGCAGATATAAACACCACAACCAATCAAAGGAAGATGGCTTAAACATTAAATATTTGGACCTCAAACATGAAAGTACACTGAAAGAGAAAAAAGGAAAAATATAGCAGCATTTTACACTATCTGTTGTTTACTCTGAAACAAAGCCCCAGGATGGAGACAATACAGGTATAAATTACAACATGTATTTTAACACATCCTTAAAAGCCAGAAATGAAGCTACCCACTTTGACAACTGTTTTCTATATAAATCTCTGCCAGAAAAACAAAAATCATTATGAATTCAACAAATCAAACTTCAATCAATTATTTTGGTCAACTTGAGAGTTAATTTTTTTTAATGAAATAATGCTTCTGAGGAAGAAAAAAAGATCTTGCTTCTGAAAACAATTTTATGGTTAATGTAAAGTTTTAAACCAAATAATTATATTACTGTGATTCACTAGCAATTCAAGAAAAAGTGTGTAGGATGTCCAAAAGTTAGAAACATATTAAAATAAAATTTTTTTCTTTATAGAGAGTTGCCATACCATCTGGTTTAATTTGTTTTGTTTTTAATATCAGCTTTCTAAGAAGTACAAATTATTAAGCTACTTCCCTGAAAAAATACGAGTGAAGAAAAAAAACGGGTTGAAGACAACATCCTGATTACAAGTTTGGACACTCAGGAAAACACTAATATGGCAGAACAGCCCAACCTAAGTGAATTTGAGTGTGAAACTGGTTCATGGGCGGTATCTACTAGAGATGACAATGATGAAAAGGACAGGTTCACAGAGAGTAACAGGCAAAATAATAACATGCAAAACAATATAGAAATAAATTTTCAGACACTGAGCTTTACCTCTTTGTCAGAGTGCTACTGATTCTAATTGAGTTTAGGAGAAAAATAACAAGGCAACCCCTGCTTGACTGGAAAGTACAGACTATTAAAGGATGCTTTTAAATAGGAGAGTGATTAATGGGGGCATCCAAATGTGAGCACAACCATATTTTTCATCTCAACTGTGTTCTTCTGTCTTCCAGCTGATCACTTTAATACAGTGTCACCTCAGCCAATGCAAAGGCAAGAGATTGAGGTGTAGCTCCTAGATTTCTAAAAGAAGCATTGTTTTGTAAAGCGTCATTTAGGCAATTCATGGAATTATCCTCAGAAAAGGTAAAAGTCAAACAACAAACAAACAATGGGCTCCCTTTGACAAGGGAGTCACATGCCTCCTGCTATTTGAAATCTACGTCAAACCAGTTGATAAGATTTGTAAAGGAATATCCTTACCCGAATTATTTCTTCAACACAGCTGTTGGTTTCTCCAGATCTACTCTCCTGAAAGCAAAGAAAAAAAAAAGGTTAAGCCTGATAGAATAGATTTACAGTTACAAAGAAAAGATGACACATAAGCTTCCCAACTTAGAGTTTGGACTGGGTGAACGCCTAAACTGGGACTTACTGATGAGCTCCTTCCCTTAATGGGGTAGCTCCCATCATGGCTATGCCTGCTCTCCCTCCCCTCACTGCTGCACGAGGCCAGGCCACCCAGGAGCATGGCACATGCCCCAGAGTTTCAGCTCTGGGCCCTCTAACCACGCTGACTGTAAGTGGGCAGGCTCCTAGGAGTACAGCACACGACCGGCAGCTATGAGCTCTGTCTACTTTGGGCTCCATCAAAGTGTGGAAACGCGGCCTCCACTGCAAAAGTGGATCCAGTTCACTCACCAAATACACGCAAGGGCCCTGCCGATTACAACAGCTGCTACAGCTTAAGTAAAAGTCTGGTAGTTTTACTGTCCTCAAAGCCTAGATTTACTGGTTTGATGGCCTGAAAACTGAAAGACCAAAAGGAGAAACATCCTCTCAACGTTTGCACGGCACGCTGGGTGTCATACCCCAGAGCCACTTGTTCTGTAAGCCACGCTGCCCTGTGCTGTGGAGATGTTAAGGGCTCTGAGGAATGGTGGCTTCATGTCACAGCTGACTCTGGGGAGCATTTTAAGTTCCAGAGATGCTATGTGGTTATGTTGGTTACATAGCCTGGAAAGCAGGAGGCAGTTCTGTGGGGACATGAGAGCAGCATTTGCTAGTACAAGTGCCAACTGTGGTCTCAGGGAGATGCTTCCCTTGGCCTTGTAATTCAGTGATACTGACCACAGCTGAGCATGACGTCCTAGAATGAGGCTTTCTTCACAATCTCTTCTCTAAAGTCCACTCTCCAGGAATGCTTATCTGCACCTTCCCAGTTTTTCCAGTTAATTCCAAGTCATTCTTCAGACTGCAGGCCAGTCGTGATTTCCTCAGAGCAGGCGTCCCTGACCTGGAGCACTCACTTCTTCACAGTACTCACCACAATTGCCATTCAATAATTAACTCTTCAACCATCTCTCCTCCCTCTAGAACACACACTCCACAATTCAGAGGCTCTGTGATTCTCAGCACGGTGCTTCACACAGTCCTGAGTGTGCTCAGTAACCATTTGCTAGTGGACAGTGTGCCAAGAAATGAATGATCTACTTCCTGTAGTTCTCAGGAAGGTGAGGCCTATCACCATCACTCTAGGATCTTTGGAGACAGCAAAGGCTCCACCGAGGAGGGCTCCTCTGCACTCCCAGCCCCGCTGTGCACGGCACTCCACCCGCTTTTCCTGGAGGGAGAGGATTCTGCCGGAAATATTTGACCCTTCATACTGGGTAAGGGGCCAGGGGGAATGAAGATATGTGAGGCTTAAAAAGGCCCCACACATGGTTGAGACTTTCTCCTGCCCAGAAATAGAGGGCAGGTCCAAGTCTCCCAACTGAGGCCCAGAAAGTTTACATGATTGCCTCAAGCCACGTAACAGCAGAGCCTGGACCAGAATACAGGACTCCTGATTCGCAGTTGTGTACATTTTCTCTTCCAGAAGCTTCCCCAATCCCAAAGGCTGTGCTTAAAACATATCCATTCCCTTAGCAAACCTGACTCATTTGTTTGTCAAAGGCGTGTCATTACCAGGGTTTCTATGAAGCTTATATAGTTTGAGAACTTTTTTTTATTATTGTGGTAAAAATATACATATAAAATTTACCATTTTAACCATTTTAAAGTGTATAATTTCCTGGCATTAAACATTCACAACGTCACCACTACCTAGTTCTAGACTTTTTTTGTCATCCTGAATGGCAACTTCATGCCCATTAAGCAAGAACTCCCCATTCATCTTTCTCCCCAGCCTCTGGTAGCCACTAATCTACTTTCTGTCTCTACGGGTTTCTCTATTCTGGATATTTCATATAAATGGAATCATGCAATATGTGGTCTTTAGCATCTGGTTGGTTTCATTTAGGATAATTTTTCAAGGTTCATCCATGTTGTAGCATGTACCAAAACTTCATTCTTTTTATGGCTGAATAATATTCCACTGTATGGATGTACCACAATGTGTTTATCCATTCATCAGTTGATGGACACTTTGGTCGTTTCCACTTTGCCTATTGTGATAGCACTTCCTTGAACATCTGTGTACAAGTTTTTGTTTGAACATCTACTTTCAGCTCTTTTGGGTATATAACCAGGAGTTGAATTGCTGGGTCACATGGCAATCTATGTTTAGCTTTTTGAGGAACTGCCAAACCGTTTTCCACACTCGCTGTATTGTATATTTTACATTCCCACCAGCAATATATGAAGGGTCTAATTCTCCACAGCCGCACCAACACTTGTTATCGTCTGCTTTTGTTTTGTTTTTGATAACAGTCATCCTAGTGGGTGTGAAATGGTATCTCTCTGTGGTCTTGATCCGCATTTTCCTAACGACTAACGATGTTGTGCATGTCGGCTATTTGCGTATCTTCTTTGGAGAAATGTCCTTTGCCCATTTTTTAATTGTGTTGTTTGTCTTTTTACTGTTTTGTTGTAAGAGTTCTTTATATATTCTGGACACTAGACCCTTATCAGATATATCATTTGCACTTATTTTCTTCCATTCTGTGGGTTGTATTTTTGCTATCTTGATAATGTTCATGGATGCATAAAATTTTAATTTTGATGAAGTCCCATTTATCTATTTTTTCTTTGTTGCTTTGCTTTTGGTGTCATATCTAGGAAACCACTGTCAAATCCAGGGTTATGCAGATTTAACCCATGTTTTCTTTTAAGAGTTTCACAGTTTTAGTTTTTATATTTAGGTCTTTAATCCAATAGTTTGGGAACTTTTAGGTGAAGTTTATTTCCTTATGGGTTATATGATAAGTTTTAGTTAAAATAGGAACATATCCTTGCATAAATTACTCTATTCTAGTCTCATCATTAAAAGATCAATAAGAAAACGTGTAAGGCACAGCCACTACTGCTAACAGTGCACCAACAAAGCATGCACATCTATCCTACTAATCAAGAAAAACAGTGCTAAATAGCACGACAGGATTAGGAGACCCAAATGCATTTACTAACATTTCATTACCTTTTCCTACACTTATACCTCTTTCTGTTTTCCCAAACGCTCTGGTTTGGCCACATACATCTAATAAGGCCCCACTCCTATCCCCAATATCTTATCCCAGGACTGCTCTGAAAACTTCACCATTCTGAAACTCCAACCAAATAGGATCAGAGAGCTCTTTTTGGAACCTGCCCCAAACCTGCTTTCTTCCAGGGCAGCCTGAGGCAACCATCACAAAGGCCGTATGGAAAAGTCTCAGTCAGGCCAGGCTCGCTCGTCTTTTGGAACGATCTGCTTGGGAGTTCAATGATGGGAATAGTGGTCTCAATTGGAAAACATATCTTCAAACCCACAGCCATCTCTCTTACCCTACCTCCAAGTCCCAACTCTTTCCGACCATATAACTTACTAGCAGGGGAAAGGCTAAATTCTCAAGGTATCTTCTATTTTTCACCTTAAAACAATTAAGAAAGGGAAACTTGATTTCACGTTCTCCTGGTAGATTCAGCCAGGTACATAACATACTAAAAAAAGACTCTTCAAATTAAACTTTGGGTTTGAGTCCTTAAAGCTAAGCTTCCCCTGAACACGACACTTTAATTTCATTCGAAGTGATTTATATAAATGACAGGTTGCTCTTATGAGTATCTCTCCCTATAACCCTATAAATTTCCACTACCCTCCTCTGAAAACGAATGCACTGAGAGACAAATGCAGTATAGACGCCCTGTTAAATAATTCCCTCATCACTGTAGATGGACTATGTAGGATTATTACATTGGGTCATCTCGAGGGCAGCTCAAAGCTCATTTCCTACTGGGAGGGCCCCTTGTAAAGCTGAGGAGGTACCAGAAGTGAGGCCAGGATAAAGGACTTCCAACAACAGTTTCAGGAAGTCTTGGCCTTAAAATACAGTATGGATAGTCCTTGGCAGAGGAAAATCTAGGGGATTCTCTGGAACATGTCTGACTCCTGGGGACAAGAACGGTATCACATTGGGTCTGAATCTCCAGAGAAGGGTACCGTATTGGGTCTCAATCTCCAGGACCCCATTTAGATTGGAGTGGACCCATGAAGCACAGTACTGTAGAAAGTCTGAATTGGAAGGAAATTTAGAGATCATTTTAGGCCATCTCAATGACTTTAACAGATGGAGAAACTGTGGCCCAGAGAAGTGAAAGGCTTTGTGAAAAATCATTTTGGCAGCAAGGGGCACTCAAGGTAAAACCCACACACATTTTTTCAACACCAGCTTCATGATTTTCTGCTATTTTCTGCTCTAAGTTCAACCCTTTGGCTCAACTTGAGGTCACTGTCACACTTAAGGTACAAAAATAAAAGAATCTGGACAGTATTGGGGTAAATTTCCTCCTTCCTTTCCATGCTGCAAATTATCCAACACTCAGTCACTCTGTGTCTTATTCGCTAACCTCCAACACCACATACATCAACCAAAGGGGTTAGAGAGAGGAGAGTAAGAGGAGAGAAAGGGTTAAAACTACCATCCCTTCTGTGACATTAACAAATTAGAGACAAGGATTTGTGTCCTCAGAAATTGGAGGACAGAATTCCACCTCTTCTTTTCCAAATACACAAAAGGGGGTAGGCAGGCAGTGTTGGGGTGGGCAGGGTAGGGGTGGGGAGGAGACGGCAGGGCCTTTTTCACCCTCTTGAGGTCTTTTTCAAATCTGGTTTTGGCTACAGTCATGTCCTTTGATTATATTTACATTCTAAAAACTTTCAGTGTTTATGAACAAGATTAAAACATGCATGTGATTTACATCTCCAAATCTGTGTTTATATGTTTCACAATAAAGTTATTGTTTTCCTTGGAAAGGTACCCGCTGAGAAGGAGGGCTGCACAATGCAAATTTTAATTACTCTGTATTTTTTGAGGGTTTGTAGCTGTTGTTTC